TTTTTTTTTTCTATTTGGGTTTTTTTAAAGAACTGGCCTCACACAGAACTTTTACATCTGTTTTCCTTTAACGTCATAATATTAACCGTTATGCCCTCAATTAAAGTGTTGTCAGAAGCTGGGAAGAAAAAGTCTGATTCTCCTGTACAGCCTTCAGAGGACCTGAGGCAGTGCGGACACTTCAATTCCAGATTTCTGGCCTCTAGAACGGTAAGAGAACACATTTCTGCTACTCTGAGCCAACAACAAAAATAAATGTATGTATATACATATACATCCTTGAAAAGCAGGGCTTTTCGTGGCTACTATTCTCTTTCACAAATTATAAGCATGATTTACTTAGCGACCTCCCTGGGTAAGACACTAAAGAGTCTTTATGAGCGTTCACTATCAGAAGTAACTAATTCATATAAAAAATTTTTTTAAATTTTTTTAAAAAGTAATTAATTCACGAACATATTTTGCCACATAACGCCGAAGTCCTCCAGAAAGCCGCACTGGCTTGTATCACCTTGCGATGTACCAGCGATCATTTACTTGCCCCATCACCCACCCCGAATTCTGTCCTTGAAGCACAAATTAATACAAACCCGCAAATACCGGACAAAAGCAACTCTGGAAAAGAACGTCCACCCTATCAAACGATCCACCCAACAAACAAAATGCCATGGGACACAAAGACTGCACCGGAGCTCAAGGGTTTATGAGGGAAATTTTAAAACCACTCCTGGAAAAACAGCCCAAAAGCGCATGCCTTTTCTGCAGGCTTCTTAAGCGTCTGACTAGGAAGTCACTGTGCTTTCCTTTTAAAAGGATTCCCCAAAGCCTATTCCAAGGCTGAAATAGGTTTTGCTGCATTAGATCTGATTTGTAGTAAAAGCCTCCAGACACGGTCGCAACTGTATAGAACTATTCTGATTCTGTACGTTGCCCAAGTCATAATGTAGATTAGCTTCATGCCCATCTGAAAGCCCGAGGCTGCCACAAACTGACCCCCTCTGGGGGCCAACTGGAGAAAACAATTTTCTTCATGACCCCAATAGCTGGGCAAGATTGCGAAGGAATTTTTTTTTTTTTTTTTTTTTTAAAGTAAGCTCTACACCCAACCAGGGGCTCAAACTCATGACCCGGAGATCAAGAGTCACGTGCTCTACCGACAGAGCCAGCCAGGCGCCCCACTAAGCACTTTAAAAGGAAAGTGAGGTAAAGATTTGTATTAGCTTGTGAAGAACCAACTTTACGGGATTCCAGCCCAACATCTGCCAAACATCTTTTCAGTCAATGTCCCAACAATGCCAAGTTTTTTGCTTTTTGAGTTTTAAGTACAAGAAAGTTCACGTCAGTTTAAGGAAAAATTGCTATTTACCACTCCAATAAACCACCTTTTAGAAAATGTTTGTGACCAGCCTGAAAAATGCTCAAGGACCCGGATAAAAGTAAAAGCAAAACCAAATTACATATTTATCTGATTTTAAATTTTTTTTTTTTTAAATTAAGGGACCAAAAACAAATTTCTATCTACTACCAGGTAGAAAAAAGTCTCAATACATAAAACTCAACAAGACAACCAGACTCTGTTTCTACGCAGATCTACTGATTTTAATAAAGTCTAGTCCAGGTCGAACTGCTAAAGGTGTTTAAAGAGAATATTGCCTGGTCCAAAGTCAGACAGAAAATTCTAGGGTTTTATCAACTGTAAAATGATGTAAGAAATTATCTAATGCCCTATACCTAAGCCCTATAAATCTCAGATCCCAGTTAAAGATTTTGACAACGGCTTTTCTTTGAAGGGCAAAGTTGCATGGGGCGCCTGGGTGGCTCAGTGGGTTAAGGCCTCTGCCTTCGGCTCAGGTCATGATCCCAGAACCCCGGGATCAAGTCCCCCATCGGGCTCTCTGCTCAGCAGGGAGCCTGCTTCCTGTCTCTCTCTCTCTGCCTGCCTCTCCGCCTACTTGTGATCTCTGTCAAATAAGTAAATAAAATCTTAAAAAAAAAAAGAAAAAAAGGGCCATGTTGTAGACAAACACACATATACAGAACACAGGAAGCCAGATGTATTATCTCTTCTACAGCTAGCCAAATCTTCAGAATTTTTCCTAAAAGCTTTAAATACTATCCAAAGCAGAAGTCTATGTCCTGTCCAAGTTTTCAAACTTCCAACCTCAAAAAGCTGCAGAAATTCTCTTAAACCCTGGGCTGTTCAGTCTATACAGTTGGAACTAAGTAAGTGTCTCAGTATCAATTATTTCAGAGTAAGCTTTAAAAGCTCTCCTACAAGGCTAAAATGTACTGGAAGAGAAAAGGAACTCATTTTAAAAATAGAGGGGGAAAAAAAACCAACCCTTGGATTCTCTGAAGTGGTAGAGAGCCTAAATTGCCCTGATGTTCTAGGAAATAAACTATTTTCTCTTGATGATGATTGGCCTTGCTTTTCCAAGTCAGCTCAATGGCCACCAGAAACAACAACAAAACATTTTTCCCCTCTTGTCATTATGTGTATATACATTTTATATGTGTGTGTTCTGTTTACTGAAGTCCTCAGTCAAGGCTTTTAAATGTGTTTGAGAACAAATTGCTGATCGCTGGGTGGGCAGGGAAAGGGTCCAGGGCGGTGGTTTTTGTATAATGCTGAGCACATTAATGGGACTCCCCAAATACCATATTTATTTTACTTGTGGCTTTCAGGGTTGGGGGTGGGGGGAGGAGGTTAGAGTTTATCAAAAACAAAACAAACTCAAAACAGGGAATTAGTGCAAAATTACCTGGATCACTCAAGGCCTATTTCCTTTCTTTTCCTGAATGTTTAACATTTTAATCCCTTTCTCTTCATGGTGTCTCTGTCTTTATAGACTCCACCTTTGATATGACCTGGGCTCTAAAATCTTAACTGTCCACTGAGTTTTTTAAAATAACTGTCTCGCCAAAACTGCTGACCCGTCATAGAGCCACATGCCATTGCCTCCTGAAAAGAAACATGGTCAGAACAACAGGGCAGGTGAGAGGCAGTAAGTAAGCTCACCTGTGATTCTGCTGGTACACAACCTCACACATTACGACGCCCCACCAATAGGACCAACAACACAGCACCACAGTCCTAGCCGCATGAGGCAGAGATGGGTTAAGTCAAAGAAATGGGATTTTTCTCTACTTAATTTTCTCAAGTTAAGTAGGTTATGGTTTTGAACACTTAAACCTCTTTTGCTACCAAGAGAGGGGGTGGCGGGGGAAGCCTTGGGTCGGCCTGATAACTTTTTCCATTTACAAAGAGTCCTCAGCTGGGGGAGCAGAGAAAGAGGGTTTCGCACAATACATTCCTACCCTTAGAAATAAACAGACTGCCCATCTAAGTGAAACAGAAAGGCTTCTGAAGCAATTGGTGTGTTTAGGTGAATTAAATATAGCAACTCCTTAGAGAAGCACACTTGTCATTTTTTTAATTTTATTTCAAGGACAGGGAAAATAAATAGCAAAGCAGCCAGTTAAGAGTCAAGAAAAAAAGTGGAACTTGCAATTCAGGTCTCCTTCTCTCTGAAAAGGGAGGACCCTCAGTAGCCCCAAAGCACTAGCATGTAAATAACACTTTTCAAAATAATAGTTTGTAATAAAAAGCGCAGTTACCCTCAGGTGTGGAAGCAAATTTTCAGCTTACTGCGATTCAGGTGGGTTGCCCCATACAAACTAAGAGTAAAATCTAGTGTTTTGCATTGATTTGCATGGTCCTAGGTCCCTCTATCTTCATTTAAATAGTTCCCTTTTCACAAGTGGACAAAGTGCTGAAGACTTACAATAACCAATTAAGTCCTCCCCAACGTTCGGTTTCACTCTCAGAATCTCAGTTTGCACACAACACATTATCTCCATAATTATCTCAACACCCTAACCGACTTGCAATCAGTTTACCATCCTGTTAAGTTTATACAGTGGAACGCCAGACCTCTAAGAATACGTTACAGGTCATATCTAGATGCGTACTTTCCTGCATCTACACTCGAGTTCTTTTCAGAATGTTTAAGAACTCAGCTATGTGGGATCCTTAAAAAAAAAAAAAAAAAAGTAGACGAAAAAAGTTATTGTTTCTTGGACTCCGGGTAACGTACCTGCAGGAACAAAGCCATTTTAAAAGGACACCACAAATAGCCAAACTACAAAATTCTGAAACGTCTGTTCAGGAGTTCCCTCCCACGGTTAAATTTTGTTTCTACCTACGGAAGGCACCGCCGCCCGCCGCAACATTTTTAACGTTGTTACGGACACACCACCTAAAATTTACGCTCAGAAGTCAAAGTCTCATTAAAACAGCCTAGACGATCGCTTGGTCAACTGTAAAGTTCTGAACTCTTTTCTTCGGCTCCCCCCACGCGCCCCCCCCCCCCCCCCCCCCCCCCGCATCACCCCTAAATTGACTAAACCTAATCACCCACATTCGGGGTCTTTTGACTCATCAGAAAAGAATGCAGCCGATGAGTTATCTATTAATCCAAAATGCCTCGGCTGGGAAGATATTTCACCGAGAACTTTTTAACACTGCAAGGGAGGGGGCAGGGAACCGAAGGTGTCTTTCCACGAGAACTTTCCCCGAGTTCTTTCCCCACCCCGCACAGACAAACACACACCCCACAACCTCCGGCCCCCGTCGCAGAATTAAGTCCTGAGCCTCCGGGTCCCCATAAACGGAGGTCACCCAGGAGTCAGCTCTCGATTCCGCTTTTAAAATCCCACGCAAACAAAGCTGAGCATTATACTTACAAAAGTCTCCGAAAAGTCCTCAAAGTTACGCAATTTTAGGAACCCACAAAAACACGCTCTCGGAAGAGCCCCCCCCCCCCCCACTTTCCCGGGGCCACAGTGTGGGGCTGTGCCTCGCGGCGAGGGCATTTCCCAAACCCCGGACTGCGGTGCCCCCGGGTCGGCGCCCGCGCCCCGCCCGCCGCTCGCACGCGGGAGGAAGCCCGCGGCCGGCGCCCCGGGTCGTACCCCCGCCGCTGCGAGCCCCGCAGTACCTCTTCCTCCTGAAGGTTCGCCTCGTTCGGGGTGTTCTCCTTCTCGGCTTTGCCGCCGTTGTTCATCTTCCCGGTCCTTCCTCGCCGGGCAGGGCTGGGGCGCGGGGCTGGGCGAGGGCGCGCTCGCCCACTTTTCCCTTCCCCGGGCGCCGGGGCTCCCTCGGGCGGGCGCCGCGGGCTTCGGGGGCTGGAGCCGGGGACAGCGGCGGCTCGGGCTCCCGGGGCGAGGCGAGACTGCGGCGCCGGGCGACCCAGGAAGTGCGAGGGAGACTCCGGGCAGGGCGCGGCGCGGGCCGGCTGGGCAGGGGACGGAGACAATCGGGCCCCGGGAGGGAGACCTGGAGAGGGAGGGCGGGCGCGAGGGAAGGAAGGAAGGAAGAAAGGATGGGGCGAGGGCGCGCGTCCCAGGAGGGAGCCCGGAGAGTTGGGGATGTGGCCGAGCGGGGGCTGGGGGCGGCCGCTGCCTGAGCCTGGCGGGGGCCGGAGGGAGGGGGCGAGGGGTGCCCAGACCGAGGGAGGCGGCGGTGCGGGGCGCGGGCCGCGGCTGGGACACTGGGACCCGGAGAGCCGCTGAGTGCGCGCTCCAGGCAGGCTCTGGGAAGTACGGGATCCAAGCAGCTCCCTTTCTCTCGCTCTCCTCCCTCCCCTCTCTCCTCCCGCTCCTCCTCCTCCTCCTCCCTCCGCCCTCCCTAGACGTGGGCTGCCGGCTTCAGCCGGGAGGGACGGGACGCGGGACGGAGAAGCCCCCCGCGGGAGGAGGGGCTGCCCCGCGGCCGGATGGCGCGCGCCGGGGAGGGGCCGCGGGCCGCAGGCGGAAGCGGCCGACCCCAGCCCCCCGACTCGGCGGTAGGTCGGAGGGTGAGGGCCGAGGCGCGGGAGGGAGGGAGGCCGGGTCCTCCGGCTTCCTCGGCCCGTGGGGGCCCCGGCGGCCCGGCCGGTTGGGAGTTGGCGGACTCGCGTGGCGGTGCGCGCCAGCTCGGAGCGGGGCCTCGGGGAGCCAGCGCGACGCCCGGGAAGCGTGACGGGCTACTGCGGGGGGCCTGCTTCCCACGGGGATTCGCACCCCTGTCCCTGCGCCTGCCCCTCCTTCTCAGTACCGGCCCAGACCTATTTCCTCCCTTCCTAGTGGGCAGCTCGAAATGACAGGATGCGAGAGAACGAGCGACGTCCGGGCGCAGCCGGGTCCTCCCAAACCTCCCAGCCTCCCCGCACTGGCCTTGGCTCCCTTCTAGGCTTCATGGGCCCCCCCTGCTCAGGCTCCTCTCACCCTTATCAGACCGTCCTGGAATTATTTGTTTACCTGGCTGCCTCCCTTACTCTTCAGGGAGAGCCTTCCCGCAAGACAACGCCGTGCCCTCTTTATCATTATAACCCCGCTGCTATTTAAATACGCTACCTGGTATACAGTAGGCACTCAATAAATACTTGTTGGCTAGGTGACTATTCCTCCCAGCGAGCCGAAATGGAGACCAACACGGATGATCTTCAGAGGGTCAAAGCGGCTTAGAGAAGGAAGAGGGCTCAGCATTCTGGGAGGTCAGCACAGAACGCCTTGTTTTTGCGCCAACTCGGGAGGACTGCGTGGTTTTGTTTCCTCACCTGTGAAATGGGAGTAGTTAGAGTTACCTCCCAGGGGGTTGCAATTAAAGGAGATGACAGGTTGGTAGACCTATAGCAAGCAGCACCCATGCCTGCCCAGTTTAGGTTTACAGGAACTTGGAAGCTGGTGTTATTATTAAGGAAATTTCCATTTTTCCGGGGGCCGTAGGGAGCTTCTCCATTCCGGTATCATAAACACATAAATTTAAAACTGCATGTATCAGTAGGTTCTCCCTCACTTCCCACGCCCAGGAATTCTCTCCCACAGCACGCTGTTCCTTTCTTCACAGCACCAATCACAATTTTTGTTGATTTGCTTCCTTCACTGTTTATCTCTCTCTGCTCCCCCTCCCCCAGACATTCTTCACCCTATAGTGGTTTAAGTGCTCCTGGGAGTGGGAGGGGGGTGGGGATGAAGATAAGGCTCCTGCTTTTCGGGAGTTTGAGCTGGTGCTGCAGGGACAGGATTCCCAAAACAACTGCGCGGCACCGTGATCAGGGATCCTGGTTCAAATCGCAGGAAGCAACGAAAATACTTGCGTCAAGAGCGTTGGAGGGCGGGGGAGAGTGGTGATACTTCCATTCACCTATTGGGTTTTTCCTTGGAGTGAGGGGGTGGGGGGAGTCTGAGGATTTTGATAAATAGATTTAATTGCTGTCATGATGTCCTGTCTCTCCAAGGGGGGAAAAAAGTGTATCCTGGATGAAAATAAGTCAAGAATCTGTTGAACTTGCAACTGAAGTTTAGAAAAGGCAAGGGCCACAATTAATCTGGAAACCTGGACACAGCCCTTTCCGCTCCTAGTCCCTCCCTCAGTTACAGAAGGAGCCACGAGGGGGCAGTGTCTTCCTGAGCAATGGCTGAGTGGTGGGCTTGGGCCCCCACGCTACCAATGCTGCCCGCACTCTGCCCTCCTTGGCCCTTGCTGGGTACTGAATACACTCCACAGAAAGATATTGTCTTGCTGGAGGCTGGCAAAGGCCCAAGAAAAATGACAATTGATCTAGTCATTGATGGTTGCAGTCCGACGCCACTTATGAGTAGGTGGAAGATGTCTGATTCCAGGATGCGCAGCGACCCCAACCAGGGAAATCTGGCTTCCTTCCAAGCATAGAACCTGATTCCTTGTCTTTCAGCCAAGCCAGCACTTTTGTCCATTGTTAAAAGTCAGAAACCTCTGGGATAAAAAAATGAAAATCGGAGCTATGAGAGGATCTTTGATCTATCATTGTTGTGTTCCCAGCATCTAGACAATGCCTGACACATAGTAGGCACTCAGTGGTTGTGTTTGACTGAATGAACACATTAAGTCTTACCAGATATTGATTTTCAGCCTTGAATGACATCAGATCCTTCCAAGACCCTGCAGGAGGGACTGAGTTAGATGTGTCTCAGCATGGAGAGCCACCACAAGGGATCTAGGCAGATTCATGGTAGTGGTCTATAGTCACTATTTTGTAGGGGGAGACCCTACCTAGATAGAGAGCTTGCTCAGAATGAGACAGCTGTTGAGATTTCAAAAATAAAAAATAAAATCACACCGCTCAACAAGTCGCCTGATGCATCAGGCAGTTAACAATACAGCAGGGAGGCCTATCAGTGGTGAACATGAAATTCAAGGTGTTTTCAGAAAAGCCTGTGGGGATGGGGGTGATACACCACGAAAAGAGGGACTCCTGTTTCTTGTCCTTTCCATGAAGAATGGTGTAGACTGACTTGGAAGAAAATAGGGTCACATATTATTAACAACCCCCCCCCTGAAAATCTATAAATAGACTTTGGCTGTTTATGAAGCTTCAGTGAGAGGAAAGACATCATTCAGGATACAAATGATCCTATGGCCTGTTGATTACTCTAAAGAACGTTTCAAAAGTGAGATCTAGGTCACTCAGTAGCACTGAGTAGCTTCCAGACACACCACGAGGTCCAAGAGAACAAAGGGATTTCATATCCTAGAAAAATAGAGCTAATGGCCACGAAACACCTGCTTTCTCCCTTGCCTACCACTTTACCACATTGCTTCCAGCCTGCAAGTTTACATGCCAGATGGAAAGGGGAATATTGGATGCACCTGTAGCTTTAGGACTTATCTCTGTTTCTCTGGCAGTGTTCAGTCTGAGGTTTGCTTTAAGAAATCCAAATTGATCATTACGTCTTCAGTGTTTGTCTCTGGGAACTGCAGACATTAAAGATTTTTTGAGGCAGTTTGCATGGCAGGGGTTTTGTACCTGTGCTAAGACAGCAGCAGAAAGCTACAGTATCTACCACATGGGGTTCTGAATATCTGTTCACACTTCTGCATCCTCTGCTCGACCCAGAAAGTTCTGGAGGCCAGAGGTTATGTCATCCTTGAAATCTCTCTCCCTTCACCCCACCCATCTCCGGGCCATCATCATCTTCCCCTGATTTGTGACTTTTTAAAAAACACAACACTGTATATGCCACTCCACAGCGCACATTTCAGTCGTGTGAAATACACGCACGTCGTTGTGCAACATCCTCTTGATTTTTACCTCCTACATAGTTGGGAGATGCAATCATTTCCCTCTAATCACTTGTGGAAACAAATGCATGCAGCCACGTGGAGAGGCCCACGTGGAAGGGAGTCAGGTCCCGGGCTCATAGCTCCCGCAGAGCTTCCGGCAGACAGCTGGTACCAATTGCCAGCCTTTCGAGTGCGTTCTCTTGGAAGCGGATACTCTGGTCCTGGTTCAGCTGCCCCAGCTGACATCACACGGAAAAGACATGAGCTGTCTTCAGAGTCATGCCCAAACTGCAAAATAGTTAGCAAAAAAGTGAATGCTGTTGTTTTAAAACACTAAGTTTTAGGGTGTTTTCTTGTACAGCCGTTGAGAACTGAAACGTAATTGCATGCCTAGAGGTGAGGTCCCGGGGTATAGAAACCTAGAACATGGGGCAGTGGCTTTGGGACCAGGTAGAGGATGGAAGCTGGAAGGACACTGAGGAGTCCTTCCAGCAACAAGCATTGCTAAGGGGTACTAAATATTGTTATTAGAGGTTGGAGAGAGGGGGAGTCCATCCACTTAGCTATTGGAAAAATGATTCGCTAAACTAGCTTGCGGTTCACACAAAAGAGAGAAAAGATGCCTAACGAACACGTGGACCTGGCTAAGGAGCTATTTGGATAGATGTTAAAAAGGTTGAAGAAGGGGTACCTGGGTGGCTCAGTGGATTAAGCGTTTACCTTCAGCTCAGGTCATGATCCTGGATTCCTGGGATCAAGCCCCACATCCGGCTCCCTCCTCAGCGGAGAGCCTGCTTCTCTCTCTCTGCCCCTCACCCCACGTGTGCTCTCGAGTGCTCTCTCTCTCTCTCTCTCTCTCTCTCCCCCAAATAAATAAGTAAAATCTTAAAAAAAAAAAAGTTTGAAGAATTTCTTTGAGATGCTTATGATATAGTACAAGAGACATGAGAAGAGCAAAAAAAGAAAAGGGAACTGTTCGTTTTTTATCTGAATTTAGAGGAAACATAAAGAAGCCGGGACCTGCTGGGTTTGAAATAAAACTGTCATTCCCAGCTTCTCCAGAAGACCAAACCCTCAAAATAAGATATGGCCTCGGGGCCAAAGTCAAATCCAGAGTGCTCTGGGGAAAATATGGCCTTACGTGAAGTTCAGGACAAGAGTACAGCCAGAAGGGACGCCTGGGTGGCTCAGTTGGTTAAGCAGCTGCCTTCGGCTCAGGTCATGATCCTAGTGTCCTGGGATCGAGTCCCGCATCGGGCTCCTTGCTCGGCGGGGAGCCTGCTTCTCCCTCTGCCTCTGCCTGCCTTTCTGTCTGCCTGTGCTCGCTCGCTCTCCCTCTCTG